ACCAACACCCCTCTTAAGCCCAGGATAAGGATCCAGGCTGCAAGACGTTTGGTCGGAATAACCAAACATTTTATTCTAAGTTGGCTGGAAAAAACTAACTTAGAGGTTGGCTGGTCTAAACCAACATCCCTCCTAAGCCCAGGATAAGGATTCAGGCTGCAGGACGTTTGGTCGGAATAACCAAACATTTTATTCTAAGTTGGCTGGAAAAACTAACTTAGAGGTTGGCTGGATTAAACCAAACGCTTAGTACTCTTTAGCCGATGTAAGGACATCGGCTAAAGAGTGGTTGGCTGGATTAAACCAACCCTTAGCACTCTTTAGCCGAAGCAAGAACATCGGCTAAAGAGTGGTTGGCTGGATTAAACCAACCCTTAGTACTCTTTAGCCGAAGTAAGGACATCGGCTAAAGAATGGTTGGCTAGTAAGCTCAATCAGATTGCTCAGATGAGACCGGAATAAAGTATCTCGGCCATTCTACTATTAGAAAGCAAGAATTTAAACCGAGATAACAGTTAGAAGTGAAAAGATCATGGAAAAGTCATTACAAGTACAAACATACAGATCAACCGAAATAAGAAAAAGGAATTTTTCATTCATCAAAGAGCAAATACAAAGGGAGGTCCTTAGCCCGATTACAAGTCTAAGAAAAAGAAAAATACAAAATTAGTCAAAAAGATCATCGAGATCGGCTTCAATTTCAACACCGACTCCGGTTTCAGAGGGACGAACAGTCTCAGTTGGAAGCATGGTCTCTGTTGGAAGCACATTTTCGGTCATCAAATCTTCGACTACTGGCTCCAACCGAGCTAATTGATTGTTGACAGCCGCGTTGACAACCGGAGTCTCAGTTTGCTTATCTTCTTCTTCATCGTCAGACGCATCAAGAAATTGTTTCTGGAGGTCGGCAGCATACTTCGCCAGTGAGGCTAGAATGAAATACTGCGGAGCATTGTAGACATCAGTGTCAGGCCCACAACCGAGCTGCTCCACAGCACCCCTCCAGCCGCATTTGAAGAACAAGTCCTTCGCAGCTTCATACTGTTGGATGTACGTAGCCTCGCCATCCTTGAAACCCTTCACCATGGCGTCCTCAGCCTTCTTCTTTAGAACTGCTATTTCGGCGTCTTTAGCGCCCTCAAGCGCCATCTTCCACAAATATTTGTCTTTCACTTCGGTAACAGCTCGCCGTTTATCACTGTCAGCCGAGGCAACTAGTCCGGTTAGACGTGTTACCTCGGCCTCCAGCTCAGCCATCCTTTGTTGAGAGCGTTTTAGTTCGGCAGTCTTGGCTTCGGCTTCCGCCATTGCCTGTCTCGTTGTTTTCCGGAGCTCCAGCACTTTCCTATGTGCAATGTTGTTCTTCTGAATGGCCTGCAAAATAATAACTCTCTTTAGCCGGACTAACAGTTGGGAAAAAGTTAGACAAAGAAAACAGAGAGCCACCTACCAGGATAATTGATTTTGTTGATGACCAGATGGCCTTCAGCTCGGTGTTTAGTTGCTTATTGTGGTGCTCCATATCTTTTGGAAGACAAACACTCTTGGCTAGATTGAAAGCCATCAAGTGATCCTTCTCAACAACAACCGAGTCAGTTTCCTGGATATTTCGGTTTTGAAAGGTGAGAATTGGAGCCCATTTGGAAGAGTCAGCTTGCTCCGATTGAAGGCTGGGTTGAGGGCTTGGTGGAAGGATGGACTCGTCTTCATCGACTAGGCGTTGCTCGGTTTGGCTTGTCCGGGCACGCTTGTTCGCCCGAGATGAAGATGGCTGCTGGGATAGAAGGGCTACCACGGTCTCAGTCGTTTGGCTTGGTGGCGGTACTTCGGGTCTGTTGGTCTCGGTCAAGAGGGCCCTGACTCTGTTTCTCTTGGCCATTTCTTCTTCAGCGGTCAGTGAGATTAGTCTGATTTCTGGCAAGGTTGGGTCCGGTTCTGGGGCCTCCTCTAGCAGAAAGTCGGTCACTCTCGCTTTTCGGCGGCTGCTGTATCTGTAGGTCGGCTCGAACTTTAGCAGCTTGGCCCAACTACGTTTTGGATATCGTAGTGCGGCGCGCAAGGTCGCTAGATCGGGGTAGCTGTATAGAGAATGAAGGTGGGTAGAATCTGCGAAAGAAGATGACTGTTAGTTCGGCTGAAAGATTGAAAAACCGAAATATAGTAAAGCACGCAAGAAAACCGAAGTAAATATACCGGGTTCTCCTTTTTTCCAGTTTATACGTCGGCCAGGAATTTGGGCTTGGTGATCCTCAAAGTTCCCAGACACCCAGAAAAAATCGTCATCGTTTAAGTCTTTATCCGGTGTATATTTTATTATCTTCTCTCGGCGATGGCGTATTCTTAAATAGTAGACCCACCCATCTTCTTTTGAACCAATGGAGTATTGGTGGAAGATTTCGGCCAGATCGAGGTTGAGACCGGCTTGGCGGTTTAGTTTGGCTATTCCCATTATGATACGGTATGAGTTGGTGGATAGTTGGGTTGGGCATAGTCTGGTTTGCCTAAGAAACTCACAAATTAAGGGTTGGACTGGAAATCGTAGTCCGGTTTCAATTATGGACAAGAGGGTGAAGGGGACAAAGCCTTCATTTCCCCAAGGTATGACATCTTTTTCGGCTAAAATCAAGTGGACGTCATCGGGTATATTGTAATCTTTTCAGAATTCAGCAAGACCGCCCGGAGTATTTACTAAATATCTATACTTCCCCATTTATTGAATAAATTATGAATAAATTAGATCGGTACAAAAATTGTGCTCAGTTGCTCGGTTACGCGCGCAGAGGAGTGCCTGGGCGACCTAAGTCTGCAAAGTGAAGAAACAAAGGTGTTAAGCACAAGATCATTGGGTTGTGCTACAAATTAAAAGCAAGGTAAAGAAGTCCTACTTCGGCTTTGTGGATACTACAGGTTCTATCTCGGTTTCTGCAAGGTAATTGGTAGCTCGGTTTGAGTAGGGCTTTTATCAGCTCGGCCTTGGCAAGCGTCTCGATATATCGATTATGGAAACAATTTTGTTAGACCGGTTGATCGTCTAGGGGCAGCTTTCTGAGTTCGGTCTAAAAAACTAAGAAAGCTGGTTTAGCCCCGAAGGCCTAAGATCGGTTGGAATTCAGGTATCTTAGTATGCTAAGTGCAAACTTAGTTCGGTTGGTTACCTCGGCTAAGGTCTAGCAAGAAGAGGTTTGACTTATTCAAAGCTACTGGTGTAAACATGAAGTGTAAGTCCAGTTGTAAGCTGACTAGACTTTTACCTAGCTTAAACAGTGTCCTAGTTCGGTTGCATCATGATTCTGGATCAAAAACTAGTTTTCTACAGGATATTACATGTACTCATGTGTTCTATTGTTAAGTTTTTTCCATAAAAGTACAGAAGCAAAGCAAAACAGAAAAAGTGTTTGCAAAAAGCACACAAAACAAAATATGGATTGAACAAATACGAAAACAAACAGAGCAAGGAAAATGGATTTGCTTACCAGATTGAAGTAGAAGACCTGGAGATGGAAGCAACGACAGTAAAAGAGGCACACGAAACAAGCTTCACAGTTGCAAAAGTTGGAGAGCAATGGAGCTTGATAGAAAGAATGAGGGAAATAAGAAATGCGGTGGTGAAACCAAAGATGAGGAGATTGTTTTGTGAAAAGGACGAAAGTGGAAGGGCGGGAACTGTTCAAATTTTGCGAAGTACGAGGGCGGCGGGACAGCTGCAGAGAGCCAATCAGTGCCTGCCACGTGTCATTGGAATAAGAAGCGATTCAGTTGCTGTGATTGAAGAGACGTTTTGACCGAACAAGCAGAGCCCGGTATGAAATTAGCTCGGCTGGAAGGCGTAAGAGTTTTAGCTCGGCTGGAAAGGCTTAAAAACTTCAGCTCGGCTGATAGATAGGCAATCCCTATCATGCTGCGCAGATGGAATTAAGGGGCAATTGAGAGGGTAATTTTTGTGAAAATTGGGCCGAGCTGGGTAATAGGTCGTTTTGAGCCGAAGTACAAAGGGCCGAGTAAAATGGCCATGTAAGTTACTCCGGTTGTGTGGATATTTTGAAGTTAGTCCGGTCCTAAAGCCGTGAAGCTAGTCCGGTCCAATAGAAAATCGAAGTTAGATCAGTCTAAACAGTACTTTGGAGTGAGACCGGTCTTGGAAGTTACACCGGTCATGACATGTTAGTTCGGTCTAACTAGACCATGGGTTGTGCATGAGAAGCCGACGTAAGAGCTGTAAAAATAAGAGTTAGTTCGGCTTATTCTACGGCTATGCATAGTCATGTTTACTTCGGTCATGTTGAAGTTCGACCATTGTAAAAACCATCTCACTTGGTTTAAGCAGTGAGGGGGGTGTTGAAGGATAAGCATTATCTTTCAAGAAGTAGAATACCTAGAGACTCTGCATGAGGAGTAGAAGTGCTACTAGATTGTGTAACACGAAGCTAATAAAAGACTCACAAACATCACATTTGGGGAGGTAAAAACAACTCTGATACACAGCTTTTTGTCAGCTTGTCTATATGCTGACTTAAGGCATCGGGAGGGGTTTCCGGCACACACCCGCCTGCTAGCTCACGTTGTGTTTCAGAGAAGTAAGTGACACCGTTGGAGGGCGAAGACTGATCAACAGGATTATACGAGAAGGTTTATTTCTTTCCCGGACAATTTTGATGTAGTGTCAGTCACAAAAGCTACTTTTAGAACCCTATTAGAGTTCTCTATCAAGACTGATATATAAATAATGTTGGAAAAAATGTTACGTACGACCACTAATCCAACGAAGCTCTAATAGCTCAAATATTGGTGTGGACCACCCACTATGGAATGTTTTGACTTTGTATCTTTCTTTTTTTTTTAATAATATATCAAAGATTATTAGATCTGTTAGTACACCAAAATTAGGTGATACAACACTGCTCATAATCGTATTATACGAAACTTATTATTAAAATAAGTTTAGTTAAAAACTACACCAACTTAATCTTGTTACAAGGTCATGTAATGAATAATAATTTCTAAACATCATGAAAAAAAAAAAAAAAAAAACATAGAATGAGTAGAATATTACCTAGCACATGTCCATTAATGTGCCGTTATTACATCAACAACATTTGATCCCCTATATTCTATAAAATTTCCCAACCTAATTCCCTCTTTTTTTCTTTAAAATCATATGAATCAAAAGAACCCAATTCTAACCAACTGAGACTAATTCAGTTGATCAGAATTCTCGTCTTTATCATTTACGTTGTGTTTGGTTGGGACATTTGAGAAGAGATTTGAAAAAGAAAATGAAAAAGATGTGTGAAACTAGATAATATATTGATATATTTTATTCACATTTCAGTTTTCTTTTCAATTTTCCTTTTCAAATCTTTTATCAAATCTTTCAATCAAACACAATAGGCTCGAAGGTTCAAGTTTTGTCCTAGACAAAACTCGTTATATCAGTGTATGCCCTCCAATATACCAGAAAAATAAAACACAAATTTCAATCAACCTAAACAAATTAATCTAGATACAATTAGGATAGAATTTGGGAAATGCTACCTAAATGCAAGGCATTTGAAGAAGTTCCTCTATCATTTCAAGTCCAATCCTCTCTTCCTCATCCATCTCTTCTTTCAATTTTGGCCCTCCCAATGTTGGGGAAGAGTTCAATGAAGGCAATGCCAATGCACCTCCCTCAACAGTCTTCCCTTTCTTCTTCGTATCAAGCTCAACTCGCATAACCCAATTCGAATCCGAGCATGCCCCGGCATGTTTTTGCCACACTCCTATGTGGGAGTTCTCAGTGTCAAGCCTCAAACATGTGAGAGATGGGGATGGTGCTTTGCTACTCTTTTGAAGCTTCTCGCGTAGGGTTTCTGATAAACCGGTGAATGATATAGTAGTAGTATCAATTAAATTTCCTTCTGAATTTTGGGCTATTGGGAAGTTTGTTTTTGCATTCCTTCCATTCATTAAAATGGAAGCTTGATCATAGGCTTTAGCTGCCTCTTCTGCTGTGTCAAATGTACCTAGCCATACCCTCCTCTTTCTGTGTGACACACCAACATAAACATTAATCCCCCCCAAAAAAACATAAGCTATTACAACCTTATTCTAATTTTTTTTTTTTTCTTTTAATCCAAATGCTACATCATGTGTGTATCAACTTTCTATCATGGTTTTGTTTTTAATATTTTAAATAATAATATCAAAAAATGAATCGATATTAGTTGTAATATAACAATATGGAGGGTATTGAACTATGCATAACAGAAAATAAATAATACAGTTGTGGATTTTTTAAATTGTTGGCCTCAAAAAAGAGTCATCCACGAATGGAAAAATAAATAAACTATGAATGGATAGACATTAGATTTTTATTTCCACCATTATACAAAATGTATATTGAGAGGCTAAAATTATATACATATCATCTAATGATTAAAGTCAATAAAAAGTTAACATAATATAAAAATTGATCATAGAATCGGATACAATCTCAAATGAGTTACGTCCACACCTATATTTAAAAAAAAAATAAAAATTTATATCTAATTCTATAATTAATTTTTCTGCGAGTTTCAAAAACCAATAGATGAAACTACACTAATTTCCTTATGCTGTGTTTATTTAGAGGATTTGGGGAGGGATTTGGAAAGGAAAAGAGAAAAGATGTGTGAAACTATGTGAAATATATGCATGATTTATTCACATTTTACCTACCTTTTCTATTTCTCTTTCTAAATCTCTCCCCAAATCTCTTAACTAAACAGAGCATTAGTGTTGCATAAAATGCGGTTGAGAGGGAGAGAGATAGATTGTTTGTGAAGGATGTCTTGTCATGATAGTGTAGCTATGGTTATTTTATTAATTAATTTATTTATTTTTTATCATTTGTAGTTATATTGGAGTGTTTTAGAAAATTAATAAGAAGTTAATTTTTTTAACTTTTTTAATCTATCTTACCTTTTTATAAGTAAAAAATATGAAACGTAATATAACTCAAAATAAATAATAAATAAAAAATTGACTTTTTATTTTCTTCCCAAAAACTCGTAGAGTTTGGTGCGCTTACTTACAATAACGGGTGGCGAATCTCTGATACCCAAGAACCCCAGTGACGCTGCCTGACACCTCTGAACTTCTTTGATTGCACCATGTTTGCACAGAGAGAGAGAGAGAGAGAGAATGGTACGAGCAGCTTATAGAAGATGGTAGAGAAGTCAGATGATGAAGCAACCCCATAATTGGCGGGTTTAGAGAGAGAGAGAGAGAGAGAAATAAACAAACCGTCGGTGAACTAAAATTTGTACAGCATAGAGTATTAAACAACTTCACCTACAACTTCCTATGATACAGCTTTCTCAATAAATTAATGTACTTGGCTTGTATATGCAGTGTTTAAACCTAAGTCAATGTGAATGTGGAAAGTATAACTTTACTTGACCTTGGAAGGCATAACCTATTTGCAGTGGCTTAGGCTTTTCTCTAGGTTGAAATTGGATTAAAACGTTTTATTGGGGTTCGTAAGCTCATCACGAACTTTATATTGATAATTTAAATTGTTCAACATTTTAATCTCGTTGAATATTTTATTCTTATAAAAAATTATATTAATTGAATATTGATAATCACTTGATTAAATCAAATTTGCGTCAATAGTAACTATAATTTTAAAAATAAATTATTAACTCAAATGTGATTTCATCAAGTGACTATTGATATCTGATTAACATGATCTTTTTTATGAGAATAATGTTAGGGATTATGAAAAAATTATCATAAAATGTTTGATGAAAATTTTTCATCGTTTAACTAGTATATAGTGTTTTATTGCATGTATAGTTTAAGGAAAATTTTCATGAAGATCTATAGTGAGCTCCACAAGCCCAATTTAGGATGTAAACATGCAACCCTCCCTTGATCTATTAGGATGTGTGGGTGAAAATCTGACCACACTGCCCGCTTAGCGATCAACTGGAGAGCACATGCAGAATAGATGGCTTCAGTAACCTGTAACAGAAAGAAAAGGCTCCGGCGGTGGTTCTTCCACCCGGGGGCACTCCGACGATCAAGTCAGTATATCTCTCAAAGATAATCAAGTGCTAAACTTATCTTCGGAGAACAAGGTTTCGAACGTACTCTCCCACGCGCATGAGCTGTCATGCATATCTAACCGTTCCTTTCACGTGTTTTGTCTTCATTGGAGCGTGTCTGTGACGCGCCTGAAAGCTGTCTGTCATTCGCCTGCGCCGTCTGACGCGTGCGTTGCTCTAGGCGTAATAAATGCCCTATTTTTGCCGCCGTTTCACGTTTTTGACAAAACTTTTCCTTGCCTCTTTCTTTCTTCACTTTTTCATTCTGATTTCTCGCTCTTTTTCTCTCCGAAAGCTCTTTTTTTTTCTTCGAATCTGCCATTGCTTCAATCTCTCTTCTGAAACTGTCTTTAGTCTTCCATTTTTGCGAAGCTTTCTTTGCCGTCACAACCGATTTCTGATCTCGGCGAATATTGCCCCGGCTTTATTTGTTCTGGTAAGATTCTGTTCCTTTCACTCTTAGCTCTCTTTATGTGCTTTCGTCTGCCTGTTGTCATTATTGCTTTTGTTCAAAGCCTTGGATTTGTTTGTACCTTGAATCGTGGCTACATCTTGAACACTTGCACTATTTCACCACTTTTCTTGCCACTGTTCTTGATTTTTTCACTTCTGTATTTCTTTTGTTTCTGAGAACTATACCTCTGTTCTTGAATCTGAAACTTCGTCTTTGTTTTCTGTTTTTCGTATCTGTCCCAGATCTGTGCCTTCGATCTTGATCTTTATAGTTCTTAGGCTTGGGATTTGTGTGTAGAACCTTCAAGTTTTTAGGGACAACTGAAACAAGCCTTATCAGTCCTTTCCTAGGCCTTTGTCGAGGTTTTTGCAATCCTTTTAAAACGCCCATCTTCTGAAACACCTTTCTCTTTGTTTAGGCCGACATAATGGGTATGTGGAGGCATAGGGTAAATACCCCAACAAAACTCGAATACTTTAGGCAGGAATTCTCTATCCCAGCCGATGTTCACCTTAAGTTAGCTGGGGATGATGATACCATCACGCCCACAGACCATACGATGCCCTTTCCTATAGTAGCCTTTACTGAATGTGGACTTCGGCTTCCACTTGATCCCTTGTTTCGTGAAGTTCTTTATTTTTACAAGCTGAACCCCATGCAACTTACCATCAACTCCTATAGGGTGATTAACGGTATTATAGCTTTAGCTAGGCAGGAGAATCTTAGGATCACCCTGGCCGACCTTCAGTACTGTTATACAATGTGCCCCCTCAACCTGAAGGAAAGGGGCTTTGTTTATTACCTTAAGCCGAGGTCTACCGAGTTCAAAATTGTAGCCGACCTCCCAGACTCTAACAAGGGGGCTGGGGATGACTTTGTTATTGCTTCGGGAAATTGGGAATTTGGCCTAGACGAAGATGTCCATCTATTCCCTCTTCCTCGATCAGTTAAAGAGGGCAAGGGTAAGAGCCCAGTGCCAACACTTAGTTGTTTTTATTTACGTCTTTAAAATTTTGTCTGTTTCTAATGTCTGTTTGCTTGTCCTGCAGATCTTCATCAACTACCAAAGAACTTCCGTCAATCCTTCTTCCCTGGAAAAGACTTAAAGAAGCTTCTTGGTCTTCCTATCCACAAGCGCAAGGTTCCCCTGTTGCTGAGCTTCATTCCGATATATAAATCCACTTTACCCGACGTCCCAAAAAGGAAGAAAAAGAGTCTTTCTCCACCTACTGCCACAACTGTAACCGCGTCTTCATCCCGAACAGATCAAGGATCCACCTCTGATCCAGCCGATCTTCCATCCACTTCGGCCCCCTACTTAATACCAATTCCAGAACGTAAACGTCGACGAAGACTTGTAAAGACTGCCGAGATGGTTCGTCCAAGGCCTGTCGTTCAAGATCTTCTTGCCGACCTTCCAACCGATGCTGATGCTGTACCAACGCATGCGATGCCCCCGCCAAAGCCGAAGAGAGTAAAAAAAGCGCAGCCTAAGGCCAAGGCTACTGACGCCGAGGTTGAGGATGCTTTGCCTATTTCTCAGCTGGCAGAAAGCAAAAAATCAACCTCTGCTTCCGCCAAGAGGTCTGTTGAGGCCCAACCCTCAGGGTCTACACAATTAAAAAAGCCGAGGTCATCATCTGCGACGACCTCGGCGTCCAAGAAGCCCGACGTTCCATGGGCCCCTCAACTAACTCTGGAGGATAGGCCTATTATGGCCAGTGAAAGTGCCGACGATATCAACGTTGGTGTCGCCCTCAGCACTGCTCTTCTCCTTCCGAAGGATTTGGACCGAAATGCTGAGCTCAGTGAGTATGAGAATTACGCTCTCATGCTCCAACACTCCGTTCAAGTAAGTGTTCCTGTCTGTACTTCTCACCACCCACCTATCACTA